CCCCAAAACCCCAAAACCCCAAAACCCCAAAACCCCAGTTGTGATTAAAGATGTTGAAAGAGAGATGTTACTATATTCATTTTAAGCATTACAAGTAGTTGTTTAATATGCTGACAGTTTCTTCGTATGTGATGAACACGATTGCGTTTACAGGGAAAGCTCTGATTAAGCATGGAGCTAGTCCTCTATAGAATTTACCTGCTCCATATTTTCGGTAGATATATCTTGCTGTTCTGAAAGTGCCTCTATGGCCAGGGTGATATTGGATATAGCTCTTTATAGCATCAAATGGGAAAGATATCGTCCAAATGACTAGACCTGATAAGCCTCCAGCAACCATTTTCCCAACAGTATTCTTGATACTCTTTCTGTCAGGATTTTGCTTCTCACATAATTTCTTTGCCAGATAATTATAGGTGAAAAAGTAGATTCCATAAGTTGGAACATCTCTCCATAAGATAGGTACAAAAGCTGAGAAAAGCCCATTGAATCCTTCAGCTCTAATTATTTTTGTATAAGACATAGTTCTTCCAACATTTCCTTGCTTTTTGACTTTAAGCAACTCTATTGGACAATTTATAAGTCAGCACATCAGTCCACCGAATCACCCACCTCAGAACACCTTCGTCTCTTCGGATAAATCAACATCTTTCAGAGTCCTTTTCGCAACATCATTGCTAGCAAACAGAACTGCATTCACAGGAGCATTTCCGAGCACAGGTGGTAGAGCACCTTTAAACAGCCCTCTTACCCCTTCCTTTGCCAGGATACTCTTAAAGATCCCTAAACTTCCTTTTCACCTCTCCCCACTAGTAACCTGCATCCTGACCTTAATAGTATCAAGAGGGTGGCCTACATACAACGAGACTACACCAGAGACAAAGCCAGCTGTGAAATCAATTCAGACTCTCCTTAAATTCGACAGTTCACCTAGTTCTTCCATTTTATTGAGTTATCTTTTAATTTGAATTTTGGATTCTAACTAAGAACCTAAAGTGGGGTTTTGGGGTTTTGGGGTTTTGGGGTTTTGGGG